AAGATGGGGTGGGGATGATGTTGGAGACTCGGGGCGTCTCCAGGACCCCAGCACAGGGTCTCCTCAGACAGGAAAGAAGGCAGGTTGGCGGGGATCAAAGGCAGGAGGAGAGGTGGAGTGGGTGACGCAGGGCCCGGGCCGGAGGGGTGGGTGTGGGTGCCCTCCCATCAGCCCCCTGGGCCGTCAGGGCAGAGGCGTCGGCTCAGCATTGGAAGCCAAGAGCACGAGGGTGACGGCAAGCACGCCGGGGCGAGGGTGCGTGACGCAGGCCCAGGCTCCCGCTTTGCTCTCAGCTTCTTCAGTACAAACAGACCACAGAGCCAGCGCCCACGGCAGGGGCGACCCCGTGAGAGGCGGACCAAGGGGAGCAAAGAGCTGCGGGCGGGCTCCCCGCAGAGGGACACTCGGCCCCACGGCCAGCACGGGAGACGCAGGCTCGGAAAGAGCGCCAGGGAAGTTGGTAAAGATAGAGTTGAGACGTTCTTCCAAAAGTAACAAAACGTAAGAGGAAGAAGAGGTCAAAGCTCTGAGTTCACTCCAGGAGCCGCGGAGTGAGAACGCAGGGAGGAAGTTGTCAGGGAAAGGAACAGACCGTCCCAGAGCCGAGGACAGGTCTCGGCCTGAGCCCTCGGGTGCCAGGAAGGGCCCACGGGGCACGCAAAGCTCCCGACCGACGCACGTCCTCGTGGGGCAGCAGGGCTGAGAGGGTCACCGACTCCCCAGCAGTGACCCCCCGCCCCCGACCCTCAGAACAAAGCTCAGGTCCGGGGATCCGGGGAAGGCCGTGTCAGCCCAGATTCTCCCGCAGCCGGAGTTCGTCTCCCCTGGTCGCACAGGAAGTGCGCTGGGAGGTTCTCCGCGGATTTAACACAGCGCCTGGGAGGCTGGGCAGGCAGGGTGCCCGCGGGGCCCAGGCAGCCAAGTGCTGGGGTTGGATCCAGAGCCAGCGGGCAAAGCTGTGCCTCCACAGGCCCAGGGCCGGTCCACCCCGTGGCCTCGGTTGGGGGAGGCGTGACACCGAAGGGGCGGAGGCCGGTGCGGCAGGGACAGGTCAGTG